ATTCTGAATACAATTCCAAATGTACACTATAGTCCCTAAACCCCTTTACAGCATTGGGGGTTGAATAATTTTGGCCACAACTGTACACTCACCCCAGTGTCATCTGCACAACATTATTCTAGACCTGCTTACTTATAGCGACTATGTCTGTGCAATGTGTGTTGGCACAGCCACTTGTAGTCTCCACCAGTGCCTGACTGACAATACAGGAGCACAACTGAGAGAGAGGGTTTTCACCTTTTAAAATGAAAGCTGCAGATTTAAGAAGATAGAAAAGGACTTTTTGAAATTACAATGAAAAGTTAAAACATATATTAGATTTCAATGAACAGAGATTGGATCAACCTTATAGAGACCCTGTCACCATCTTAGAAAAAAAATCAGGAACAAAACAAGTATTTTTTTTTTTAAATCAAGAACAAAACAAGTATTTTATATGCTTACTTGCAGTGTTTTTCCTTTCCATAAACATTTTTGTATTGTTTTATATTATAGGCTAATTGACTTCTTTGTTAGGAAAAAAAATTCTTAGCATAGCAATTCCCTGCAAACGTGTCATGGCTTTTGGATATCTACACAAGGGAGGCTTTTACAGGTAAATAACATGTTTAAAATACCTAAATATGCATATAAGCCCATGAGAAGATTTTTGTTAAAATTAATGATCCCTTCAAAACCACAAGTTGAAAAAAGTAATAGTGAAAGGTAAGGAAATTTTGAGCTCTTAATTCTTGAGCATATAGCTGTTTGTTTGCAGAATAGAATAGAAAATTAAAATGATATACATGGATTTATTTTTTTTTTGTAACTTACAAAAAACTAAAATATGTAATGAAAATTGTCATTAAAGTTCTTCCACTTCCATTACAAACTATTAAGTCTGATTTAAATGTTTTTATTTTTTGATGAACAATTGTATTTTTATTGACATAGAATTTGTATGAGAATTACAGTAAAAGGGTCAATATAACCGTTATATGATAGCCCATGGAGCTATCCCCCTCTGAAAGCCACTTTTTCATTCCCTGGAGGACCTTTGACTATGTATTTTCAAAAGAATGTTTCTGATTTCTGTTGAAAAAAATCTGAGGCTGAAAATAAAAAGAGACAAAAAGTTCAAAGGCAGAACTGTCACAGTGCATATAAACAAACTCTTTTGCCTGTAGGTACTTTGAGTACACGCGTGTGACCTCACTGAACACTCATTACAGAAAAACCCATCTTCTACCTGTAGAGGAAGTGCTGACAGGATGTTTAATCAGGATATATTCCAAATAATCTGTTTTCTTCAGAGAATATATTATAGTGAGGCCTGGTGGGAAACAGTTGTTTTATGAAAGGAAACCAATAAACCTGAGATTTCCGATATTCTCTGTCAACTGTCCTCACTTTCCCATGTGGTCTGTTTTAGGCAAAATAAAGGCACAATATTACTGAATAATAGTAGACTTATTAGTGGTCATCACTAACAATAGGGTTTACAAAAATATCAGATTTTTACAAGAATGTTACAAATTGCAAACAATATGTTTGTCAGCCAATATCTACAAAGAAAAAAGAAATTCCTTTTCTCCCAAAATAAAAGAGGTGCCTTCACCTTCCAATTTCCTGCCTGCCTCCCCTTTCTTTGCTCTAAAGTCTACAAAGATCCCATGCATATACTGACTTGTGACATAACATGGGTCTGGAGATTGCCCTAGACCTGGAAGTCTCAGGATTTCCACTGGGGCTGCAGTACAGATCTGGCAGATACGGACAGGGATAGTAATCAAAAACACCAGAGGGTGCCATCTACTCAGCGGGGGAGTTACTTTGGACTTTTTAAATAAAGGGATCCTTTAAATTATTTTCACGCTTTAAAGATTTTGAAATGCAGGCAAATTAAGTAGAGTAGACTAATTGCTTTTTTAAAAAATGGAGCAAGAAACAGTTTTTAAAGAAAAGCTCCACATGTATTCAAATTTGCATAACCAGTATTATTTCATTTAAATGTATTGTAAGATTTTGCTCATTTTCCTGCTTTTTCATTTGCTGTAACCTACACTTCATACAGAATCGGTAACTATATATGGTTCAGATCATTGCACTGCAACGTACTGCACTGAAAAAAAATTGTTCTTGGACTTCACCAGCCTACAAGCAAACCTCCCATAACTCACTTTGCCTATGTGAACTTCACAGTGTTTTTTACTTTATGTAGCCTTTTCAGTCATTTCCTATTGGGCCTGTTATTGGAATCTAATTAACAAGCACCTGGGTGTCATACTGGGGCTTGGCTTGAACTGCACAAGTGTGACCTCTTATAACATCAACACTGCTTCTGCCTCTCTGTCACCACTGTCTTCGTATTAATATCCATCCAATCGAGTAACTGCATGCTCTTGTCAAGTTCTTATCATGAATACAAACACACTCATTAGACAAACACATACTGTACTCATTAAAACACATTAGAAATACACATTTTCCTTCACTGCCACTTAATGATCTTTAATTAGCTGCTTTATGTTTTTGACTATAAAATGACTAAGATTATACATGTGTTCATTGAGTGTATTCCAAATAAAGATACTCCATTAATAGGAATTAATGTAAAATGATTTTGTGAAGTCCATAATTTTACTCTTATCCAGTGTAGCTGATCCAAGCCCTTTTTTGCCAAAAACTAAGCAGCGGTATAAACTTTGGTTTTACCATGTGAGCCCCCATTCTAATAGATGGTTCTTGCAATCTTTGCAGATATTTGTATGGAAGATATAATCGTATTTCCACATTGAGCTTTACTTTTTTATAGTGCTTCCTTTAAAATGTATATGCTCAAATGCAAGCATGTTCATTTGGCAAGACAAGTTAGTCAAGACCATCTAAATTTGCTAGTGCATCTAGCACTACTCTCTCCAGAGGTTGACAATGCTGCTGTCTAAGAGTGGCTCCATTGCTCCTCTATAGGGTGGAGTAAGTATGTTACCGGCCAGATCACCAGGTAAAAATAAAGGAAAAACATAATGCAGCCACCACAATTAGGGATTGATAATCTGCAATATAATATTTTTTTCATTTGAGCTTAAATATGCTTTAAAGAAAAGGAAGACATTCTTTCAAGGACAGTGAAATGCACATTTTGAATAAAGAGGACAATAGGCTTATCAGAGGCATGAAGGAGGACATATACTTCCAACAGGAACAACCATCCCTTAACAGGAGTGAGGACCTTCCACACTTCAGACTTTTACATATAATACTGTTTTAACGTATTGAATAAGCCCCAAACCAAGAAAAACTAATGGGGCTTTTGGGGTACCAAACCATATAAATCAACATTGGTTATACAAAAATATATAAAGACAATAAAATTGAACGCCTTTTATTGGGTTAAAAAACCACCAACAGGTGAAGCATGGGCCGTCAAACACATACAGATCAAGATCAAACATTCAATGAATGAAAAAGCCACAGCAATTGCCAGTGATGTCCAAGACGCAAAAGGGGTGTACAGGGCAGTACTGCTGTGGTCTGCAGCATTTTAGTCATGGTAAAAGTAGCAATTTGGGTACTGCATGCCTAAGGAAACATGGGACTATGCAGCAGATAGCTGGGCGGGGAGCAGCATTTCATTAAGAAATTCCAGCAGCAAAAGCCCTGTGTTGGGTTTTCTCCTAACAGTGAGCACAGGGGGTTTGCTGCTGGCATTTATCATTTAGATGCTGCTCCCATGATATCACTGCTGGGAAGGACAGGGCTCAATGTCCCCTATACAGCACCCTGGTGAAGATAACAAAGCAGAAACAACGATGCACAGAATAGCTGCACTTTTCTTGGACTTTATTGTGTGCATACAATTAAAAACATCACATTGTGGGATACAGTGTTTTGCGCTAAACAGCGCTTATGCGTAACCTGTTACAAAGCTGCCAGCTGTGAGCTTTATCTAGCTACTCCATATCTATTGCAAGGGAGGGAGGGAGCTGGCACATTGGCAAAACCCCATGATTGGCCCTTTCAAGCCACCTGTCCACAGTTCAGTGGTCAGAAAGTGCATTACTGATAATAGTTGCTATGGCGGTGAATAATGCAATAGTTCACCTTTTTCTTGAACTGCAAGCAGCTAGAGTTCTAGTCAAACTCAAGGTCAACCTGAACTCAAAGTGTGTCCCTATTTGAGAGATCCATATCAGTTCTATACTTTGATTTGTCACACTAGTATCTGGTATGATTTATATTTTGTCTAATATTGCAGGTGAAGGTAAACACCAGCTATACATCTCAATGTAATTGTGAAGATGAAACATCTGCATCATAATAACTGTTGTAGCCTACACGTAAGGGCACATGTGAGTTTTACTCCCAGTTTTGGATCCATTGGTTACACACTGCATAACATTCATCACAAACCTTGCTTTGCTGCAGTAGGAGGAGAGTGAATCTACACAGGAGAGACAAAAAAGGCAAAGCTCTTCAGGAGAATGAGTGAAAATAAGAGGTTTAATTTAATAAAAAAAAATTTGTGAGAGATTTTTGTCAATGTTTGCTATTTTGGCAAAGCACATTACAATGCATCCAGAAAGTGATATAAATGTGCAATGGGCTTGAAATTAATCTTGAAGGTTACATAGGTTACTATCCTGGACCTGTTCTGAACCAAAAAATTGTCCCATTAGCCTTATTATTTCAGGATCAAGTGCATAAAAAAGGAAAAAAAGCACAAAGAACATAACTGGACAAAATGTTATTTTATGCAGATTGTACCTAAGCATTTAAATGAGCAAAATGTGAAAGATTTTGTTTTGAGAAACCTCTCTGGTGGTGAGATTGGTAATTTTGTGGAAAAATCAGTTTAGCTGAATAAATCAGTCTGTGCGCCCCTTATTAACATCTTTGCAATGATGCACTTATTCTTTAAGATATAGTTTTGGGTAAACTTAATTTTAGTAGCCTTTCTTAGGTTTATACATTTTAAACTGTTGTTTTATATACACTATATTGCCAAAATTATTGGGGCACCCCTCGAAATTGGATTCAGGTGTTCCAATGACCTCTATAGCCACAGGTGTAAAGTCAAGCACCTAGGCATGCAGACTGCTTCTTTGTGAAAGAATGAGTCACTCTCAGGAGCTCAGTGAATTGAAGCGTGGTACAGTAATAGGCTGCCACCTGTGCAATAAGTCCATCCATGAAATGTCCTTGCTACTAAATATTCCACGGTCAACTGTTAGTGGTATTATAACAAAGTGTAGGCAACTGGGAACAACGGCAACTCAGCCACGAAGTGGTAGGCCTCGTAAAATGACAGAGCGGGGTCAGCACATGCTGAAGTGAACAGTGCTTAGAAATCTCCAACTGTCAACATCTAAAGACCTCCAAACTTCGTGTGACCTTCAGATTAGCACAACAGTGCAAAGAGAGATTCATGGAGTGGGTTTCCATGGCCAAGCAGCTGCATCCAAGCCTTACATCACCAAGTGCAATGCAAACCATTGGATGCAGTGGTATACAGTTGCAAGAAAAAGTATGTGACCCCCTTGGGATTACGTGGAGTTTTGCATGAATTGGGCATAAAATGTGCTCTGAACGTCATCTAAGTCACAACAATAGAAGAACACAATGAGGAAAGACAAAACAGAGGGCGCACAGGCCTAGTGCATTACCATAAAAAATGTTTAATAAAAAATAAAGTAGGTGTTGTACTCACAAACGACAATATAGTCAAGGCACATCATAAAGAACAGCTGGGTCAACACCGCGCTGAGCAACAGTCCGCAATAGGGAGTGTAGACATCCAAAAGGCTGACGCGTTTCGAGGACTTGCCTCTTCCTCAGAGGCTCTGAGGAGTTTAGGGTGGAGGAACTTGACTGGCCTGCACAAAGTCCTGACCTCAACCTTATAGATCACCTTTGGAATGAATTAGAGTGGAGACTACAAGCCAGGCCTTCTCATTCGACATCAGTGCCTAACCTCACAAATTCTTCTGGAAGAATGGTCAAACATTCCTATAGACACACTCCTCCTAAACCTTGAAGAGTTGAAGCTGTTATAGCGGCAAAGGGTGGGCCAACTCAATATTGAACTCTATGGACTAAGACTTGGATGCCATTAAAGTTCATGTGCATGTAAAGGCAGGTGTCCCAATACTTTTGGCAATAAAGTGTATGTGTAGCGCTACCCTCGTGAGGACCGCTGTGTTTCTAGGTACCCCTAAGCTCTGCATAGCCAAGCAACATGCATTTTCCACACTTTCATCCACAGTCAGTGAACAGTCCATGAGCTTGGTTTTATTTTTTTTATTAGGGGAAAATAACTTGGATATGGTAATAGGGATTATGGGATGCCCAACTTGACTGAATCAATGCACAGAGACAACTTCCTTCCTATTTACAGAGACAGATCCTGGACTGTTCTTTTCCTTGAAAGCCTTTGTAGATCAGTAGCAACAGCCCCTTATGGGCGAGGGACTCACAGGCCCCCTGAAAATCAACTTAACTTGTAAACTACATGTAGAGATGTCTCCTCTCCCCTGTAGGACTGCTCCCAGCTCCACAGCCTACAGACACTACCAGCCCTACTGGCTGCTCTGAAGATCTCCCAGGACAAAGATAGAGGATTAATGCTTTGAAAGCTTGCCACATGTGGCAGTCTCTCCCCTTGTAAATCCCTTGGGTGCGTTGATGTACTCATTCTGTCTTCATTGCTCCCACTACTTGCAGGCTTTGATCCTGTTCAAGCCACACTGCTGAATGGTCCCTCCTGAGCCATTCCATTACCATCTGCCATATGACTGCACTATTTTGTTTGCTCACCATTTATTTTTATTTCATTACCTCTGACGAAGCTCCACCATTAAGGAGTGAAACATGTTAGGTTTTGATTGATTTGGGAGCACTTTCTTTTTGGATCACATATGTTTTCTCTTTTTATCCTAATTTTGCCTTTTTGGGGGTGAGTATTTACCCATGTTTATTGGGATGTAGAAGTGACCATATCTAAAGAGGTATTTATGTGGATATGTGGAATATAAGGCTCATCCATTAGTGGTGTTTTGTATCCACATGGATGAGTGTACCCACATTACATATCATAGATAGATGGATCTCACCTTTAATATGACTAGAGAGACAGTCTACATTTGGAGTGAGATGGCGGCTAGTATACCATCTTGTGATATGTAAAATATGAGGATAAAGATCCTATACTCCTTATAACCAGATGTTAATTGGCTACTACAGTCAGTATATACTTTATGTTGTGCATTTAATTGTATAAGATAATATCCACATAGATATATGATGCTCTCTAGGCACGCAATATGAGCGCAATATCTCCTGTTTAATTTCACCCTATAGGAATTTACATTTATGGTTATAAGACATTCGTTTTATATGATTTAATAAAAGTTACATTTTATCCAGGTGGCCTTTTGGTGCAGAGGAGCACACACCCTCATTCAGCTCTAATCTATAATTGTCATAGGATTGAATTGTTAGTTAATTTTAGGCTGTGTTCATTTTGTAACCAGCCCGAGCACAGCCTGGAGGCCGCTCCCCCTAGACCTAGGGGTCGCCCATGCCACCAACAGTCTCCTCAGCACTCCATCTTCCACCCAACTCTTCTGTCAGCCTGTCTCTCCCATGTTTATGGGCTGGTCCACCACTCTACCAGGACCTCCAAACCTGGGATTGGTTAAACTCACATAAACATGCGGATTATGTCTCCATCTCCTCTGCCTACTAGCTTCTGGAAAGTTCCAATCATCCTCCAGAACCAGGTGGAGGCTATAGAGTCCCAACCTCTTAAGCCATCCAGCTTGACCTGCAGTAACCCACTGTTAATCACAGACTCACACAGTTACCATGAGCCATACACAATAAATTTACCTACACTATTGTAGTAGCACACTAGATGGTACTACATATGCTTTTATAAACATGTACAAACTTTCTTTTATCTATAAATATTTAATACATGACAAAGAATTTGCAAAGCACCATGAGTTATCTAAAGAGATAACATGGAAAACAAACTTACTTTTTAGCTTTCTTTTTATAAAACCTGCTACTAAGCTGTTTGATAATAAAGGAGTTACTGCTGTGATGTCTGTAATAAATAACCAGAATAAATAGTTTTTTTATACCTGTTTGGACTTCAGATTTAAGGTAGAGTTTTGTTTCTGTAGAATATAGAAAATTACCTGTTGCCTCCAGCCCTGCTTGTGTGCACAAGGAGTGACATTATACGTGAAAATAATATCTTACTCGCAGGGAGCTATGTTTCAGCTGGACATAGCCAAAAAGGGCAGGTAAGGTTACCATTGTCAGAGTAATGTTCTTTTATCATATAGTAACTGGCACATTATAAGCCCGTAGTGGGTGTTGACAGGGATCAATCAATTTCCTGCTAGATTTAGGCAGCTGGTGCTCAATTAATGCTCTGAAGCTCAGCAGATGTTCAAATTTGGAGAGTGGCTCTGCTGACAGACAGGTAGACGCTGTTTTTCATCCTGGTCATATCAAACATGAATACAGGTGCGATATGGAGTTTTCAGACCTTGCTGCAAGTAGCCTCAATTTGTACAGTCTACTGTAACAAAAAAAGCATCTCTCGTCAGCATATATTAACCAGAAGAAACTGTATCCAGCACTTTGCAGCCAGACCCTCTGCCTATTAAGTGTAATGTTTGCTTTACTAAGTTTGTGTCTGTTCATGTGTTCGGGAGGATGAAAACATACAATGGACTAGTGGCAACTGATCAAACAGAGCACTGGTGTGGTCACAGCCTGCTGTTATATACGTGTCATCCCATGCTATTCAAAACCTACTCATCATATAATATCAATGAACATGGAGGATGTTTCAACAAAGGCAAAGATGACAGATACATAGCAGTGCAATGCTTCCTTTTCCTTAACTATCATTACGCATAAATATAAATATATTTATATGTGGATATTTGTTTTAGTTGCCAGTGATTTCTCCACAACAGATCAAGTTTTATGTACAAAGTCATCATTATAATCGAAATATCTGTCTTTATCAAGGGACACTAAATAGCTAAACTAAACATGTGTTGCGTTTGTTAATTATAATAGGTTAGAAAATACAGCATCAGAAAATAACTTTTATACGATGGAAGTGGTGTAAATGCCTGGGAGGTCATATATATATATATATATATATATATATTGTATAAGTAGAACTATCCTCTTAGGAGTCGCTGCATTATTAGGTCCCTCTATAGTCCTGCACAGCCAGGCAACATACATTTTCTTCCAAACTTGCACACTGGAGACGGTAAACGAACCTTCAGCATGTTTTTTTGTAGTTTTTTTAAGGAGTATTGAACTTGGATTGGGTTGAGGGGTGTATGAGATGCCCAAGGAACTGTGAAATGCAAGGACAAACTCCTTAGCAACTATGTACAAGTCTGCGGACAAAAAGAAAGAAAGTCTCTTCTTTAAAGAGCGCTACAGCCTTTCTGGTGTACCACCTCAGATCCCAGATGAATCCTCCTCTTCACCCAGCTGCCTGAGGGTATCCCTTAGCAAGGGGGCCCAGAAACTGCCACTGTAGATAAGAAGCTAGTTGTGCTTCCCACCTGACTGCCCTCTCCCCTTATCTGGCCCAGGGGGTGTAGGATTGCTCACTTGGTCTTTCCTGTAAGCTTGCTGGGTTGGTGGCTGCCTTCAGGCCTTACACTTGGCTGGCTCTTTCCCTGCTTCCCAGGCTGTTCTCTTTCAGGGGACGGTTGAGGTAGAGAAATCCTCCTGTCCAGCACCTGCCTGTAGGTAGGCCCCTCCCTGGGCCCCCTCCCAGGCACTACACTCCATCCTCGCACTCCATCCTCCACCCGACACTGACCACTTCCTGATCAGGCTCTCTCATACTTAAGGGCTGTCCTGACACTATGCCAAGCCTCCTGCTTGGGGATTGGTCAGAGTCCCTTGAGTATGCAGATCAGCTCTTCCTCAACCCCACCCACTGCCTTCTAGAAACTTCTCAAGCTTCTAGAGCAGGAGGAGATATCAGGGAACTGACCTATAG